ATATTGCTCAGGCTGGTCTCAAACCCCTGAGCTCAGGTAATCCTCTTGCCCAAAGTGCTGGGATTACAGGCATGAGCCACTGTGCCCAACGATTTATTTTTTTACTTTTGAGTTGGAGCCTCACTCTGTCACCCAGGCTGGAGTGCAGTGGCATGCTCAAGCCACCGAGGCTTGACCTGCTGAGCTCAGATGATCCTTTCACCTCAGCCTTCCAAGTAGCTGGAACTACAGGCATGAGCCACCTTGTCCAGTTAATTTTTCTTGATGTATTGTAGAGATGAGGTCTCGCCAAGTTGCTCAAACTGGTCTTGAATCTGTGGGCTCAGGTAATTCTCTCATTCAGCCTCCCAAAGTGTTGGGATTATAGGCATGAGCCACTGCAAGCGGTCTTCATTTACTTTTATTAAAGTGATACTATTTTTAAACTGCAACGAATTCCCAATCAATTACAGCTAGTTTATAATAACTTTTCTCCTTTTTTTGAGCCAGAGTCTCACTCTGTTGCCCATGCTGGAGCGTTGGAGTACAGTGGCATGCTCACGGTCACTGCAGCCTTGACCTGCTGGGCTCAGGAGAGCCCTGCACCTCAGTGTTCCGAGTAGCTGGAACTACAGATACACGCTATCAAGCCCGGCTATTTTTCTAAATTTATTGTAGAAATGAGGTCTCATCAACTTGCCCATGCTGGTCTTGAACCCCTGGGCTCAAGCAATCCTCTCGCCTCTGCCTCCCAAAATGCTGGGATTACAGGTGTGAGCCACCGCGCCTGGCCATTATATACCAACTTAACCAAGATTCCAAGTCTCAAAATAGGTTATTGCAGTTTATGTCACTCTTTGCAAGAAGTTACTTTTCAGATTTACCAACATATCTATCTATCCTTCATTTAAAATCATTTAGTGCCTTTTTTTTTTCTTGCGATGCAGTCTCACTCTGTCGCCCAGACTGGTTGCAGTGGCACACTCATGGTCACTGCAGCCTCGCCCGGCTGGGCTCCGACAATCCTTCTGCTTTGGCCTTCCAAGTTGTCAGAACTACAGATGTGCTACCACGCCCGGCTAATTTTTGATTTATTGTAGAGACAGATCTCGCCAAGTTGCCTGGGTGGAACCAGTTGAACCCACCAGCTTAGGCAATCCTCTCACCTCGGCCTCCCAAAGTGCTGGGATCACAGACTGAGCCACCAAGCCCAGCCATTTAGTGCCTTCTTATTTGACTTAAATAAAGACTGAAGTCCTAGCCGGGCTCGGTGGCTCAGCCTGTAATCCCGCGCTTTGGGAGGCTGAGGTGAGTGGACTGCCTGAGCCTGCGGGTTCGCGACCTGCCTGGGCAACTTGGCGAGACCTCATCTCTACAATAAATAAAAAAATCAGCCGGGCATGATAGCGTGTGCCTGTAATTCCGGCTACTCGGAAGGCTGAGGCAGAAGGATCACCGGAGCCC